GAGAGAGAGAGAGAGAGAGAGAGAGAGAGAGAGAGAGAGAGAGAGAGAGAGAGATGGCAAGAAACAAAGATCTACCAGAGAACTAAACTTTTATTGTTGTCTTCCAAGTCTGATGTCCATAATCCTGGCTGGAATTTGGGGAAGAGCTCCACTCTCGGTAATGTATGAAACAGTCTGGATAAGGAAGGCTGTTTTAGATGCATTATTTATTAAACAAATGTATATAGCCGCCCAACTCAGACATCTAAAAGATCTATCATATAATAAAACCATTAAAAAACCCTACTGCATCCTTCATGATAGCAACAGCACAATTAGATTAGCCACTCAATCAGCTCCATTTCCATTTGTGGTCCCCAGGTCCACTGACATAGACAGTTCTAGGGCCTTTTGGAAAAGAAGCAGGGTGGTGGCCAATCTTACCTGGGGGGGGGAGGGGAATGTTGTTCCCTAAATAAGGTGCCATCTGTCACACCTGCCCCAGTCCAATTTCTTAGGAAAGAAAGACCCTCGACTCCATTTGGTGGGAAGTGATAGATTCTTTTACTAAAAGATGTTAGTTGCAGTAGAGTCAGGGTAAAACTAAATTTCCTGTGCTCAAAAGATACAGAAAGTTTCCCGGTATCCTAGCCCTCCCCCCATGACCAGTCCCTCTTCAGCCAATAAGAGTTCACCTAGGTCAGTGGTCCCCAACCTTTGCAGCTTGGCCCTCCGGCTGGGGGGAAGGGAGGGGAAATGGACTGCACAAGCATTGGGCCAACATATGCGCGTGCCGGCCTGCCGCTCCCTTGGCCTGGTTGGGGACCCTTGGCCTAAGTGTTTTGAGAACGCTGAGATGTTTAGGATAATTCACATTCTTTCTCAGGGTGCATGGCTTTGGGTGCTGGCACAAACTGGTTCCAAGCTCTCCTGCTCTTTGCTGAGCGGTCATTCCCCACTCCCAATTTCCCATCACTAGACAAGCAGGTTGATTGCCCATCTGTTCCCCCCCCCATGTTTTCTCCTCCCTCCTAGCCTTTGATGGCAGGATGCCAGCAAGGCATCAAGCCGAAGATGGCAGACCTGAGAAGGCCCTTTTTGTGGTCTCATCAGATGACAAGCCCTAATTGATGGAGCCTGTAATATGCCCTGCCTTCCTGCCCTGGTGGGCGGGGTGGTTGTAATGGGGGGGGCAGTCTAAATTTAGTCAGTTTTCATTCCCATGGGACTCGTGTTCCCCTGTATCATTTCTAAATGTGCCTCCCCCAATAAGCTACTTGGATACATGAGTTTAGGGGGCAACATTCTGGCTACAAATTGAAGGGAGAGGGCTGTCGAATTTAAGGTCTTGGGGGAAAAAAAAGACACACAACACAAGGCTCAAGCTGCACACATATAGCCATGCAAGTGCAAGTTCCTTCAAAACTTTTGCTTTCTTCTTCTAATGAGCTCCTGAAGGCAACCCCTTCACAAGCTCATTAGATTTCGAATGTGTGGGCTAAGCCACGAAAAAGTGTGTAGGCTGCCAGCACAATTGTTCAAAAAAGGCAAACAGAGGTGGGGAGCTGTTAAATGCTTCCCTTTTCTAGAAAAGGAGGGGAAGTATTTATATGTTGTATGGATTTATGACCTGCATGATAAATTTGCTTCTCTCTTCTCTCCCTCTTAAATAGGCATATGGGTGGTTGTTCGCGATTGCTACAGTCCCATAATTGCATGCAAGTCCAACATGTCACAGATCTACAGTTGGTAACCACACATTGCTCATAAAGACAACTTTTATAGCTAAGGCATGGCTTAAATTGCAACTGAAAACTGCTGCTGTATGCATAGTACAGTTCCCCCTGTAGCTATTTAATGCTCTGTATTTTTCATTTTCATTAAATCAATCCACCCTGATTAGTATAAGTTCAGAAAGCATGCTATCAACATGCTAACTATGGAGGCAAACTGTAGGTTCATGGATTATGCAGACAAGCACACTTGTCGACTCTCACGGGAAAGGTGATTTTACCATCAAAGAAAGACTATCTATCACTTTTTTATTTACAATAAGTTTATCCTTCATCTTACCGTTCTAAGACCTTTCTTAAACTCTATTCTATTGTCCTTAATTAGCTCTGTTTTAATTTTTTATTTTTGTCAGCTTTACCAAATAGATACAGAAACATAGCCAGCTTACCAACAGGCTGAAGAACAGCTTTTATCCATGGGCCGTCAGGCTTCTAAATGGGACATAACTTTATAACTTTATGCATGACAGACTCGCGAGGCTGGCGTGATGTGCAATTAGTTCACAGGGTGAAATAAGTTGGGGGTTTGCAGTCACTGTAAGTTTGTGGTGAGGGGGGTGGCACAGAGGGAGGCTCAGCCAATTTCACTGTATACATGTTATACTTCGATAATAAAGGGTTTATTATTATTATTAGACTCTATAGGAACAGAGTCTTTCAGAGTCTCCCACGTGAACCAGGGAGAAGCTTGCCCAAGATGCTTTCTCAAGTTATTTTCTTGGCTCAGGCCACTTTTATCTGGACTGCTGTCTTGGCAGCAGCCCTCCCTCCTGTCCTTTACGGCCATTCCCCCGGTCTTCTAGAATTTCTGTCTTATTTTCTACTATTATTATTACTACACTATTCTGCTTCAGTTAAGTTCTGATTACCTCCATTCTTTCTTATCCACCTATCTGTAGAGCCTAAATATCCCTTACACTATTTCCCTTCCTTTAGACTTCCTTTCTGGGCATCCTATTCTTTGTCAGTTCTCTCTTAGTGCTACCGATATCAGTCCCATCAACCAGCTCTTCGTGGATGAGGTCTCTGCCGTCAGCTGGTTTGGTTGGGGCACCGCTTTTAGTGTTTCCTATTATTAGACTGGGGCTGTGTTTTCTAGGCCTTGTGAGGCCTCAATTTCAGCCTGCTTAAGCCACTACTTGGATCTTTGTGTCTCTCAGCTCTTTCCTTTCCTGCCAGGTCTCTTTCACTTCCAGGAATCCACCTCAACTCCTTTCTGGCTGCTCTGACATCCTTCCTTGCAAGTTGCCCTTTCCTTGATGTTTGTTTGCTCTGGGATGAAACCTAGCAGGAAAGGAAGGAAGCCCTGCTTTTGGCTCTGTTGTCACACTTGGCTCTCCATCCATCCTTCAGGGCTGTCTTCTTCCAGGACTGAGGTCTGGCTACTTGCTCATATCCCTTTCCCAATAGCAATACTAGTACAAAATCCTGACCTTCTCCACTGGGCCAGGATGTTCACCTGAATCTCAAGCCCCCTGGTTGTCCATGTTTGGAGCCACCAGCATAACAGATCTTCCTGACAATTTGGATCATACTCTTTCCTAATGACTACTTCCTCCATCTTCAGGTGCCTAGTTTCCTTGCCTGCTCCCTCCTTCCCTCTCTGTAAGATAAGACAAAATATCCAACGATGCTAAGTGAACCTATACACGAGATAATGAAAAAATACCTGAGAAGCTTCTTGTTCTTCATCACTGGACTCCTCAGATGAACTCTCTGACTCTTTTTTTGCCTCTTGTTTCTGCTGGGTGGCTGCAAAAAGCAAACAGTGACCTCAGAGTCCTTGAAAAACTGAAAAGCTGCTATGACATAGAGTGTGGGAATTGGGAAGATCAAGTCAAATTAAGGTTTATGTTCATTGTCCAGTTATCTAGTGCAACTCTAACATTTTTAGCTTTGCTCATTATAAAGGTTTCTTGAAAGTTCATGAGATGGGAATTGGTACCTTTACATCTTATGCAATGAAAGAGGTCTTTGCAGCAGTTCTGAAACTACCTCAGGCAATTCTCCTGTTCAGATTCTCCCAGATCAATAGTTACTTCCAGAGTTCCTATTTCAACCACACTGTCATGTCTTTCAAGAGAACAATTACAGTAACAAATATCAACAATGGAGAATTGAAATGTTAGTCTGAACCAGACTTGTTGATGCTGGTGATTTAAATGTTCAGATACTTGAACTGTTGTGGGACTCTGGTCTGAGGAATCGGTGGGCTTCTGGGTGAGGAATGGCGAGCTAAGACATCTGTGAATGAGTGGAGATGACAACTGCAGCTAAGTAAGACCCAAGGGTCGGTGAGTAGACCTGACTCCTGGAACCTCTCTGGTTAAAAGAGAAGATAGAAGATGACTGCTCTTCATAAGAAAACCAAAAGACAGTGATTTCCCCTAATACTGAGTGCTGAGACACAAAGGGAACCATCATGCTCTCAACTGCAGAACCTTTTAAAGGACACTGACCAAGATTAAAATAGGACATAAATCTGGGATCCCTTTATGGACTTCTTGCTGACACTATGACTGAAATATTAATGGTTTATGTATTTGTGTATGCCTAAGGGATGGGTTATGTGAAGAAGAGATACTTGCATATGATATTATAGGGCAGTGATGGCGAACCTTTTAGAGACTGAGTGCCCAAACTGCAACCCAAAACCCACTTATGCATCGTTGGGTGCCGGGTGGGTGTGGCCCATTGGGTGGGTGTGGCCCATTGGGTGGGTGGCTGCGGTGGTAACGGCAGACTGGGTGGGACTAAAAAGTTCAATCAATCAATTCCAACTTTGCAAGATATTTTTTTTCCTGCAAGAAGTTGAAATTGACTGATTGATTGAACCTTTTTTTTTTTTTGTGCACACGGCAGCGGAAGCCTAAAGCGAAAAGGTTTTATAAAACCCAGCTGAAAGCCTAGGACTGGGGCGACGGCGCACCCGCCCACAGAGAGGGCTCTGAGTGCAGCCTCTGGCACCCGTGCCATAGGTTCGCCACCACTGTTCTAGGGGATGATGAATTATTAAGTTTGTACTTGTGATGAAGATCAGAAGCTACCTTTTTATATTCATTTTCTTTTTCTTTCTTTTTTTCCTGTACACCTTTTATTATTTTTTCTTTCTCTTCTTTCTGAGTTTAGTTTGCATTTCCTTTTACTATTGTTATTAAAAACTTTCTATATATAGATATATAGATATAAAATGATAAACTGTTATGCCCAAACTGTTTACACTGAAAATATCCCAAGACTGGGGGAGGTTGAAGTGGAGGAACACTTCAAGGAAAGAAAGAAAAAAATTCAGGAGCTCAGCAATTTTTTTTTAAAGCTAAAAAGCAAGCGCGGAGGTGTGATTTTCACATAAACATGCCTCAAGTGGGCAATGTTTTTTTATTTTAGGAGCAAAGCTGCACTGTGTGGGTAATGCCATCTTATCTGCATAACAAGCTGTGCTTCCAATATCTACTCTTCACCGGGTTTCCAAACTTCCAAGTGTTTCTGAAGAGATCCTCCTGCCACCCCACCCCACCCCTGATGGAATCTGGCCTCTCTTACCAGGCAGTGCCGGAGGCTTGGCTGTTGTCAAAGCTTCTGCTTCTTCCTCGCTGCTGTCCGAGGAGCTGTCTGAGGAACTCTCCTTACGTACGGTGATTCCAGGGGACTTAACAGCCGGAGCCTGTCCCTGGCTCAGTTTAGCCTTTTGGGAGGGAATTTGTTCTTCCTTTCCTGTTGCTTTTGTGGCAGAACTCTGGGATTTGTTGGAAGCAGCACCGGATGTATTTAAGTTGGTCTGTACGCCCTTTCCTGAGGGAGTGGCCACTTTAGCAGTCATCTGCTTAAAAAAGGGGTGAATAGGAGGCTGTAGAGGGGAAAAAAAAAAGACACCACATACCCAGAAATGCATTTTAAAATATGTATTTTCTCAGAAATAACAGACATTTGTGTATGAAACAAAATCAATACTGAATTGCCATCTATTATAGACTATGGCGCCAGGGGTAGGCAACCTTGGCTCTTTTATGACTCGTGGACTTCAACTCCCAGAATTCCTGAGCCAGCCATGCTGGCTCAGGAATTCTGGGAGTTGAAGTCCACGAGTCATAAAAGAGCCAAGGTTGCCTACCCCTGGACTATGCAAACCTGCTCAGGATGCCTCAGTTCCTATTGCTGACTGTTTCACAGAAGTTCAATACATACACAAAATATCCTTGAGGATAAAACTGCTTTTATCTTTAATGCAATTAGCCATTACACGAAGAATTTCTACATCGTCTGCACTGCAGGAAAAATAATAATGAACCATCAGATTGCCAGCTTCACCAACGTCAGATGTTGATACCACCCTGGTTCTAATAAGAGAACCTGCAAGATTAGCCTGATCTGCGTGGCTTTACTTATAGTTATCTTATCTACCTTGAGAAAAAAAACAACCTTCTTGAAGAACGACTTCTTGTATGCGGAATGACCTCCTGCTTTTACCTGCTTTGCTGGCTTCTCAGCTTCTTTGCCATCGGAAGAATCAGAGCTGCTGCTCTCTGAGCTCTTGGAGATTTTGGGAACAGGGGCAGTTCCTGCTTTTGTTGAGGTTGCCCCCGCTTTCCCCGCTGGCTGAGGTTTGCTTGATGTGAGCCCTGCATTCTTGGCTGTCACGCTTTTCACAGGACTGGCAGCGGGCTTACCTGCTGGTTTCTATGGAAATAAAACATTGCAGAATTAAAGACTGTGGTGAGGACAGAACGATTCCTGACTCAAAGGAATTAAATCGGTAATTCAGTTGCCCGAACATGGAGAATAGCCACCTTAGAATTGGCAACAAAGATACTGAAGATATGCCACCATGTAGGATCAACCAATAAAGGAGCCGTCAAGAAATAACGCCATTAGACTAGCACTTGGTAGAGCAGCCATGAAAATCTTGGAAAAAGATATCAAAACGTTGTGCGTAGCTATCTCTACAAAGATTAGAATCACGCAAACCTTAGCATTCCCTGTGATACTCTAGGGAAGCAAAAGTTGGATTTTGAAAAATAAGAATTTTTCCAGAATAGGAAGAATACCGGTGCTTTTGGAGTTTGGTGTTAGAGAAGACTTCAGAGAAAACTGCAGATAGCCAAGAAAACAAACAAATGGATCAGTGAACAAAATCAACTCAGAGTTCTCACTTGAGCATAAGTGACCAGGCTCAAATTATCTTACTTTGGGTATATTATGTGAAGACCTAGCTCTTAGGAACAGGATCTAATGCTGGGCAAGATGTAAGGAAAGTGAAGGTGACCTGCAGCAATATGGATGGACTCAGTTACAGTGGCAATGGGCACATTGTTCGAAGACCTGAAACAAGTTAGGGACAGACTGTCATGGGGAAAATCTATGTGGCTGCTAAGAGTTGATACTGACTTGATAACATATCATCAATCAGTTGCCTGACCGCCATCACTAGTTGCTTCAATTGTTTTCTAGAGGCTTGGTAAGTGTAAGAATTAGGTTGTGGCAGCATTCAATACCTAGGCTGCTTGTTACAGCTCCTATCTCAATGATGGCGAACCTTTTAGAGACCGAGTGCCCAAACTGCAACCCAAAACCCACTTATGCATCGTCGAGTGCCGGGTGGGTGTGTGGCCCATTGGCTGGGTGTGGCCAATTGGGTGGGCGTGGCTGCGGTGGTAACGGCAGACTGGGTGGGACTAAAAAGTTCAATCAATCAATTCCAACTTTGCAAGATCTTTTTTTTCCCCACGAGAAGTTGAAATTGACTGATTGAACCTTTTTTTTTTTTTGGTACATGGCAGCGGAGGCCTAAAGCGAAAAGGTTTTATAAAACCCAGCTGAAGGCCTAGGACTGGGGCGATGGCGCGCGTGCCCACAGAGAGGGCTCTGAGTGCCGCCTCTGGCACCCGTGCCATAGGTTCGCCACCACTGCCCTATCTGGTGGTAGCTTTGCAGAAGCAGAAAATGGCGTAAAACATGGATGGGCAGGAATGTGAGCAGGTATTCCCTCACTTGTCCCCGTGTCAATGCACTTAGTCTTAAGGCATCTTATAAAAGCTGTAATCTGTTTCTACATTAGCTTCCAAGATGGTGTTCAATCTGCAAAATGTCAACTTTCATTTTCTTTTCTGAAAACCAAACCAAACCAAACCCAGTGTGCCTACACATTTATAGTTGCTTGGTTTCCGAGATGCCAACAGATTTCGTTTATATGTTTCCGGCAACCTTCATTGGAGGAGGCCCCACAACCACTAAGTAGCTCGCTAATGTCAACGCTGTAAATACCTGGCTCCCTGCTATGTATCAACAGCCCTGCCTGAGCTGGCTGACGTGATAGCCGGGGTGGCGGTTGGAACCCCCAGACTTATGGTCTTGGGGGATTTCAACCTTCCATCAGCGGGCGAGACGTCGGCGGTAGCTCAGGAGTTCTTGGCTTCCATGACGGCCTTGGACTTGACCCAGTTAATTCAGACCCCCACC